GCGACTAATGACACAGCAACATAATGCAGCTTTGCAACAGCCCGGCATCCCACCAGGTACGCAACTGTTACAGAGCGTGGTGGCTAACGCTCAACCGCGCACTCCGCAAGAGCTAATGATGCTTCAGCAACAACAATTGCAATTGCGACGTTCGGGTGCGRTTTTGCAGACTCAACTTTCGTCGGGTGGACATGTTGTGACTYCGGGTGCCGGTCAACAACAAATTGTTGTAGCGGGTTCTCAGCAACATACGCAGCACTTGGGTATTGCGGGCGGGGTGCAGCAGCAAATTGCAGTGGCTCAAATTCCTCAAACCCAGCCGGTGCAAACGCCACAAGGCGTGATGACACCAGCTGGTTTTATACAGGGCCGCCCCAATATGCCGCCGCCAGCTCGTCCGCAATTTTACGGGCATAATCCAAATCTAAAGTTGCCACCTGATCTCTTTCTCGTCGGCTGCACCTTTTATATAGTGGAATATGACGAGACTGACGCCGATGAACTACCCATCTGGATGGAGACTATACGGCAATTTGGYGGTGACATTGAGCGCGTCTATTGCCAACGCGTCACACATGTGCTCTGTCGCACGCAACGTCATGGCGTAGTTATGCAGGCTTTGCGCGACTCCAAGCGCTGTATAACCGCTTACTGGTTAAGTGATATCTGTTTCAAGAAACAGTTGCTGCCGCCATGGCAGGCATTACATCTACCTTTCCCCAGCCAATTCGGTTATCAAAAGCCGCTGGAAAGGCATATTATTTCCACGTACGGTTTCGAAGGTGAGGAGAGTTTCCGCATTAAACAAATGGTAGAAGAATGTGGTGCCATATACACATCATATTTATCGAAACACAACACAGTGTTGATTTGTAAGAMGCCCGAAGGCGACAAATACATCGCTGCTAAAGAATGGAATATACCGATTGTAAATGCCATTTGGTTGGCAGATATTTGCATTGGAAATCTGAGTGGAATGTCGCAGTACGAAAATCAGAAGTATCAGCAATATTCGCTGGTGGCGCCCTTCAGAATCGATTATCCGCTAGTACCGCAATTGATGTGTAAGTAAAGACATATTGAATTTATGAACACAAAGATATTCGCTCAATGTTTTTATTGCCACTTCTGTACAATTTATTATCTTATTTTTATGTTTTAATTATCAGCTGCATGGAAGGCACCTATAAATCTAACGCAGGAAGCACACGAACGTGTCAAACGTTCTTTAGCCGAACCATTTCCCGAGCAAAAGGCAAAGCGTCAAAAAATTTCGCCTTATCAGGAAGAAATACCTGAAAACATAGTTTGCATCGAATACCCACAGAATGACAAACCACCGAAGGTGATATTTTCGCAGGTTGCCGACCCAGAATCGCTGAAAAAAGCTGTGCTGTAAGTAGAAATATATCACACTGTCAATCAATACATCAGACTGTSATATTTTGAAAATTATTTATTAATTAATATTATTCCATGTAATATTATTTTGTTTAGAATTAACTTGTCGGAAAGTTATTAAAACTTATTTTTTTAATTATTGCAGTTCGCTTGGTGGTATTGTTGTGGAAAATCCAGAAGAAGCCACCTTCTTGGTTATGACACGAGAAAGTCGCACTTGCAAACTAATTCAAGCCGTTTGCCATGTAAATTATGTTYTGAAGTCAACTTGGTTGGTGRACAGTGCCAAAGCGGGTCGCTTCCTATCGCCAGAACCGTATAARATACAATACATACCTGTCGATGAGAATCTAAAATTCCATCTAGATACCGTGCTGCATTCAAGTGTGCGAAATACGCTCTTCGCTGGCAAACATTTCTTTGTAACACCCGACGTATTCCCGTCGCGCACTGAAATCGTGCGCATGATTGAGGCATCCGGTGGCAAAGTCGAGGCAAAACGACGCACATCACAAGCAATCGCTGATACACATGCTCAATCGCCAGAGTCATATATAATTGTAACGTGTCCCAATGATATGCATTTATGTGTGGACTTGACGCGTCAGGGCATACCAAAGTGTCCGATTGTTTCAACAGAGTTTGTGATGAGTTCGATACTAAAACAAAAATTGGAGATCGAACCAAATCTAATCAACTACTTGTATAATAATAACTATGCTAGCACTAAGTCGAAATAGTATATTATCATATACGATTAAAATTGGCATATATACACAAGTAAAGTTAGTATCTAGTAAGAAAAAAATATTAATTAAGTTGTAGATATGTAATTGTATATATTTCTAAGTAAAGGGTTTATGATTTTTTTTTATATATCATATTTTCGTAATGCTACCATTTTGTACATGTTTATACATTACATCGTTCGTATTGCGAAAATAAATTTTTTTTTATAGAAACGGCAAAACAACATCCAGTAATTTATACATACATTCTTATGTAAATAAATAATTCGAAAAAGAAAAAAAAAAAAAACTTATATTAAAACATAAAAAAATAGTTAATAAATTATTTGATATTTTGAAAAAAGTAAACATAAGATTGCGTTTAAAATACTTAAAATACTTGTAATGTATACGATTACACCCGGGAAGCCACCAGCACATTGCGTAAATTTATAAATATTATTGAGTACTTTATTTCTTTTGTTTTATTTTGTATGTAAAACAATACCGAAACTAAGTATGTGGTAACTAGTTGGCTGAACTGTCACAATAAAAAATATTTTGCAATATATAAATAAGTACTCATGATTTTATTATTTATGGTTTTGGTATGGGTTTTTCGTTAAAATCAAGTCAGTATTTAGCCTGGGTATTAATGTGAAGTCTACTGCTTTCGATTTCCTGATGAAGTGAAAGTTGGCTTGTGCATTACCTAAAAGCCTGATTGTGGGAAAACATTAACACTTACTGATCCCGATCCAATCGGTGTTAGAGCGCCGAAAAAACAGCCCTTGGCCGGATAAAATCCGGTGCGTAGAACCGACTGTCGTGGGAATTATGTGGGAAACCATGCGTCTCTCTGCTTCGTTCTAAATTATATTGTRCCATGGTTTTGGAAAATCACCAAGGTCCGACTGTGTGAACTCATTTSGTTGAATTATTAAGGAAAAAAATTATTACCAATCAAATTTAATACTTTAATGCGAATACGTCAATTTGTAGGTTGTGTTTTGAAGTATATTTGACATTTACGCATTATTTATGGTTSCAACAATTTTCTCATTATTAATAGTAACTAAAATGCATAATKGATTAGGTGCAGCATTCGTGTACAATAGTGAATATGTTGTGGCTTAGCTATTGTATTTATACTAGTACACCAAAGTATTCGATTTCATATACAGTTCTTATCTCTTGTTAACCCGGAARTCTGGAGTTCGACGCATGGATAAAAAGGCAAAAATTGAAGGTGCAAAATTCTGACTGAAAGCAAAAATAGATTTTTCATACTTTCCTTCGATAGGTGGGATCCCTTCAATTTTCAGGATCATTAAATATTTTGCTGTCATTCTGTTCTACACATTCGTTTTCGGCTATTTAGTACCTAGTATCGTTTATGAAACAGTAAAAAGCGCAATTTGTTGCTGTGAATAAGTGTTTTGTTTTATTTACGAAATGATTTAAAAATATATTTGAAGTTATTGCATAAATGAAAAATTATTTTATATGGTACATAATTGAAAATTATTGTATTTTTGTTATTACGAATAAATTTGCAATAAAGGTTTGCGCCAAGCTGTTCACAAAGGAAATAAAATCTGTAATATTAATTCGTAGAATGTCMAAATTTATGTAGGAGACTAATAGGATTATTCTGAACAAATGAAGGTGCGAATTCGGAAAAAATTAAGAATGTAATAGGAAACAAAATAGTTTAATTCGCATACACGCTTCAGATTAATGTGTTGGGTGTAGAGATTTTTAAGTTTTTTGCTTATTAAAATCAGCATTAATGGGTAAAAACGTAACAAAATATTGGTTAAGTAATTGGGCAATATATTTACCAGTCAGACAAATCCAAAAATCCTAAGWAATTTTATGTTCGAAGCCTTTTAAGTCTAGTGTGTGTATGATGACACAAAAAAATACCTCGACCTTTCCTTTTCTTCTAAAATCCATTTGACTTCGTAGATAATGGTGAAATCCAAATGATGTGGTGGATAAGTGTTAGGCTAAATGGGGACCTTTCAAGTTATGTTTTGAATCCTTTATAGCAGAATGAGTTTCCTAAGGACGTCCAATGTACTGAACTGTTGAAACAAAAAAGTCCATACCAATTCCAAGGCATTTTTAATTCAATGCTTGCGCTTTTCAACTTCGAATTTACTCCTTTCTAGTATTACGGAAGATAGTACTAATGAATTCCAATCGCAATGTCTATTTCCTTGAGTTTAATCCGAATTTTCACTCAAAGGTTTAAAGGCTCTATTGCAGACTTTACATTGTTGATTTGAAAGCTAAGTATAATTTTTAAGGTAAAATTAATAATCCTCCCTCGCAGTCCTATAAATTGTCCTGTCCTATACAATATGTATAATCAATTTTATGTTCCTTCTCCATTGAATTATAAATGTATGAAATATAAGCGAAGCGAAAACAGTGGGATAGATAAGAAGTGTAACGCAGGAAGCTGCTACATTCAAGAGGGTATTCTCTTACGGCATATTACAGAAGAAATTTAATTAAATATAGTAGCAGCAATCCGGTACGTTGAATAGAAAGAAGAAATGAAATCCCGCGCGAAAATATCACTTAAGATAGATGTTCAGCAGTAAATATATTCTCATCCTTAAATAAATATCCAAATCCTCACAATCCTGCTATCCATATTTTCATGTTAGTTACTCCCAATAATCCATATTTCCATTCCATCCATAACATTTTACGTGAATAGAGCGGAAAGAAGAAAAATATATTAATATTATAACATAATTCAAATTTTTTTTTTTTTATTAGTTAAGAAATTTTAACAAAATCAAAAAGGTATGGTTATTAAAACGTTTTGTTGTTGTTTAGTTTTATAGGAAAATAATTCATAACAAATATTTCAATTTCTTCGCAAAAATTTACTGCGTGTAACTATGTTAAGTTCGAATGTAAGTTTCTGAGAACCTAGTTGTGAAAAAATAAGATATTTCACTTTGTATTGAGTACTTTAGAGATAAATTTCAACAAAACCGCAAAATATACTTGTGAGATTTAAAGAATAATTGTATATAATCATCGGCACATAAATCATCAATTTTCGGATGTTATTCTCTGTTATTCTTCCAATTATTATAGTTATTTGGTTGAGTTTGTGTGAATATTTAAAAACTTGTAAGAATATTAAATTAAAAATTTGAGCGTGAACGAGACCTTGACCTGGAATATGAGCGGCGTAGAGGAGAATATGTAGGAGTACCACGGCGGCGTGCGCGCGGAGAAAATGACCGGGACCTACGTATGAAGGTGRTTTAATTTTAACAATCTTAAATATAAATATTTATTAATTCTACATACCTGTCGCGATTATCACGTCCACCACGATCGCCTTCAACATTATCCTCTCGAACACGAATATATGAAACCTCACCCTATGAAACAATTATGAGTTATTCAAATATGGTTTATGCTATACATTTTATATTCATATTTCTTCTTAATTTGAAATTTGGTGTATACTAACCTCATGCGACCTAAAGCGGGAATCATCTAATTTTTTTATTGCATATCTCATGTCTTCATGGCGCAAAAATTCTACAACACCTGTTCCATCCTTATACGCATCAGCAAAGCACACATCACCCGCTTCTCTCATATGGTCTTTTAAATCTTGCCATGAGCCAGACGATGGCAAACCTGTAACCATGACTCGATATTGAGAACGTTTAGTTGGTGGTCCACGACCGCCACCGCCTCCACCACGGCCGCCATCATTTCTATTTCGGTCATTTCGATTTCCTCGAAAACTACCTGGTCCACCACCACGGGGAAATTCCACACGTAATCTATATCCATCATAGTCGTAACCATCGCGGGCTTTTACTGCGTCTTCAGCATCGCGTGCATCATCGAATTCAACAAAWGCAAATGGCGGACCACGCCTATTTTTCAAATCTACGAATGATACTTTACCGAATTTGTGAAATAGATCTTGAATATCCTTTGTTCGAATATCTGGAGGTAAGTTTCCAACATATATGCGACTTTCACTGCGAGACATGTTTTTTATAGATATTTATTTACACCAGTAAAATATTAATATTTCTATGAAGCAATATATAAAAACTTTTTTGTCATGAACAAAACAGCACGTAGTAATCAMTTCACACAAATGCCACAATCAATGCTAATAATGGCGAACATTTATATTTATCTAAAATTGAGGAACAAAACGGAATGGAATGATTAATATGAAGCATTTCAAGTTTAACCCGTAGCTACACGATCAAGAAATTGAATTCAAGTTGAAATATACGTACTCATCTACAATCCCCTCTCATATTTCGAAGTTAAACTCCGTTTTGTTATAAATTTTTCATTCAAGTCGTAGCTGATAGCAAAGTTTTGCGTACAAATGTTATAAAATTTTTGGGAATTTCATAACGCCGCATCTTCATAGGCAATGTATATTGCTAACATTTCCTTAAGTGAGTATTTGCCATTATATAGCGCGTGTTTGAGGTCTTGAAAATTTTATGAGAATGACAAACATTTTCGAGAAGAAGGAAAAAGTAGAAAGTAGCAATCTACTTTTCCGTAGAAGTGGGTTTCATTAATTATTATTATACAGAAAAATGGACATCAATAATTAAATACGATCAATGGAATCTGCTATGTCAAACTATCAAGATCACAGTTCATTGCTAGCAATGGATGTCATGGAATATGTCTAGACATCAATTGCTAAACATTAGCAATGTACAGTATCTATTGGTACTATTGCTAGCACTTCCGGATTTAGCGTTCTAAAATTGTTTGTGGGGATGCCGTAAACATTTTAGAAGAATGTTCTTCTCCAACTCTACCATAATACAATAATATAAAGTTGTAGGGTAAAAAAATTAATGATAGTTTCTATAACGTCAAATTAAAGTTTTCCATCCAATGAAAATGTGTGTTTCGAGTGATAATTGAATTCGAATAGATTGCGTAAATTGTGAAGGATCCAACGAATCAAGTTGTGAACAACWATAACATGAAATTGAACAATAATAATTATTTACTTATAAAGTGAATTTTTTTAAATTACTTTCGTTAGTAAGTAAAACTAAAATATACTTTTTTATATWACTACGTACGGCATTTACATTTTTATAGTTTGGAATTGAAATCATCTGGGTAACCCTGTTCTGTACTATCCTTAAATGAAATTGAACTTTRTACGCATTGTATATATTTGCAGATATACGCCATTCTTTGGAAACTACCTGAATAAAACATAGCATTATCGCGTGTCTGGAAAATTACAAGCAAATATTTTTACTTGAAGTAAACGACGGAGGAAAACTTCAATAAAACAAACTTAGAATGTCTCGTACTGAAAGTCGTATTTATATTGGGAATTTGCCTCCAGATATTCGTACAAAGGATATTCAGGATTTGTTTCATAAATTTGGTAAAGTAACATTTGTCGACTTAAAAAACAGGCGTGGTCCGCCATTTGCATTTGTGGAGTTTGAAGATGCTCGAGATGCAGAGGATGCAGTGAAAGCTCGAGATGGTTACGACTATGATGGATACAGATTGCGTGTAGAGTTTCCTCGAGGAGGGGGACCAGGCAGTTTCCGTGGTAATCGTAATGACCGTAATCGCAATGATGGTGGTCGTGGTGGTGGTGGTGGAGGCGGTGGCGGTCGTGGGCCACCTACCAAGCGTTCACAATATCGAGTCATGGTAACTGGTTTACCATCTTCTGGCTCATGGCAAGATTTAAAAGATCATATGAGAGAAGCGGGTGATGTGTGTTTTGCTGATGCGTATAAGGATGGTACAGGTGTCGTTGAATTTTTACGGCATGAAGATATGAAATATGCTATAAAAAAATTGGATGACTCTCGCTTTAGATCTCACGAGGTAAGTAAGTCGCTTACTTACATGCTATAAACGAAGGGCAGCCAGCATCTGTTATAGCTAAAATATAATAGGAGATATTTAAAATTATATTTTTATACATTTTGATAAACTTTAATTTCAACATTCATATGATATAAACAACAATTTATTTAAAGGGAGAAGTCTCATATATACGAGTACGTGAAGACTCCGGTGAAGGCGATCGTGGTGGTCGTGGGCCACGAGGTGACCGGTATGKATATGAAATATATATTTTTTTTATGGGTATCTGAATAAATAATATTTTCTCTTTATTTACATGAAGWTCCCGCTCTTTTTCACCACGTGGTCGTCGCCGTGGGTCACCAACTTATTCACCTGTCCGACGTTCATACTCCAGGTCAAGATCTCGCTCCCGCTCGAACTTGTAAACTGCACTATAAAATAAACAACTCGTAATACGATACCATTCATCGAATAAACGTATGGTCTGTCATAAGCATACCTACTGAAAAATTAAAGTTTCCGCATACATAAGCTTTCTTATCATGGAGTTTACATATTTTAAGGCAAGATGACTTGATAAAAAACATTCTATTTTAAATATTTTAACACTTATAATATTACTTTTTTAAATTTCTAAACCGAATTCAGTAAATTCTTTTGAATTTTAATTGCATCTACTTTGAATGAAAGTAATTTAAACGGTATCGAAGAAGATGCAACCTATTGTAATTTTCCATACACARAAAACAAAAACTGAAGCAAATTTAATAAAAAAGCAAAAGTAATATCTGTACTAATCAAATATTATAATTTTCTCCCCTCTATTCACGTTAATTGGAATGGATGGAATGGAATGGAGTTTTGGGATTATTAATGATTTGGATGGAATCAGGATTTAATGGATTTTTTGGATTATAAATGGACATTTTAAAAGGATTACGTGTGAAATATATAGGAAAGGACTTGTAAACGTAAATGGCATAACGGACAAAATCATATTAAGTGGGGAGTGGTGGACATAAAAAATGCATAGGACACTTAAAGTCAGACGTACAAGTAAAAAAAATATTCCTGACAGGCGAACTTCTTTACTATATTTTAATCAAGCATATTTGAAGTTGATACGCATCGCGTTTTTAATTTATTGTTTGGAGAAAACTTTTGGTCGAGTAAAAAAAATGTTGTGACTGCTCAGGAGGATTCTTAGATTATTTTCAATGACACACATTTTCAACTTCGGGTATCAACTATATTATATTTCAAGGACACCTCAAATTTTACTGGATTTTCATAAAAACTACAGCTATGCCAGACTTGAATGAGATTATTTAGTGTTGGCCAGTTGTAAAAGAATTCATCACGACCTTTCATCTGGAATACCTATAACGGTAAATACCAATTCAACTTACATATACATATATTACMTAAATGACGTTAAGTGATTCTATAAATGATGATATCATATAATAAAATACTTTTCCGATGAAAAATTCATAAATTCCGTTGTTTACGATAGTTCTTTGTTTTCTGTTTTTTGATGTTAAGCGAAATAAATGATCGCTGTTTTCTTTTGCAAATTGAATTTTAGGAAGCTTCTCTTGTGACCTTTTAAATAATATTGAAAATTAATTTGTAAGTACAAATCATGATTCCCACGACAGTCACTGGAACGGACTTGATTCTGAAGTTTTCAATCCTTGGCCGGAAATAATTCGGGTCCCTTTTATTTACGTAGATACGACTGTCGTGGGTACGGAAGGGCTGTCAACACGGCACCATTCCTTGAGTTTAAATTGATATTAAAGATTGAGGTATTGCACTGCGACCTGCGGTCTATTGTACCCGATCCCATATCACATATGATCACCTAGATCCAGCATTCTGAACAGTTCCAGGAACCTGCTGGAACTGTTCAGCAGGACCTGATGTCCTCTGTCCACGCAAATGATACCTAGGGCCTTTAGCCTGCTTCTTTAAATTGTTGGGCAATCCAAAATCAGGTGTCCTGGGGTTTCTTGTTCTATATCGCAGAATCGGCAGTTTGCGTAGAGACAATGTTAGACAWGTGCTTCCTGAGCATGCATTGCTCTGTGTAGAGCTCGACAAGGATGCGGAATTTCTCAAGGGAGGTTAATTATTTCCCTGCAAGATTGTACCCTCCTAGAAGCAGCTTGGCCTGGCGCATTCCTGATGCCTGCTGCCAGCGCTGTTCTCTCCACACTCTCTCCCTCGTTCGGATCAGCTYCTTAAGAGTGTGGGACCACACTGCGATGCATGGTTTTGGCACCGTCCTCTTGGACGCTGYCGCATATCSGGCTAATTCGTCAGCTAGCTCATTGCCGGCTACCCCTTTATGCCCCGATACCCAAATTAGGTGGAGATTGAGCTATGCGCACTGACTTATAGCAAAGACATTTAATTTCCAGCCGAAATGGTTATATTCGTTGGATATAAATTTCAACTAACCGGTAATTACAACTGGTTATTTATTCATCTCAAAACCGCTGCATTATAACTTCTAATTTTGCGCTTGTAATTTTTTAAATTAATTTTAAATTTTTTTAAATTCGATACAAGTTGCCARAATTTTATATAGCTTTCAAACATTTTACTTGTTTTCGCTTTGTACATACACATAAGCGGCCCTCCGGCAACCCTGGTCGGAACTTCAGCTGAAGCAAGAAGTTGGCAACGCGATTGCTGGAAACTATGCAAACAAATATCCGTTCTTTTAAACTTGCCTAACTGTTTTTAACTTCTCGAAATATTCAAAATAATGCGATTTTTCGATATAATTKTTATTATTATAATAGGCGTACCACRCATTTGCATTAAGTTCATTTTGAAAGGAAATTAGTAATGCCCGGAAGCGTTAAGGGCTTTTTGAATTATAAAGGAAGGATATAAACCCTAAGTGTTTACATTTACAAATACAAAATCCAATCAAATCCGTCAGCCGGTGCCAATGTGTATACTTACATACAATAAAGTATGCTTTGGTATGTGCCTGTGTGTGAGCGAGAGTACTCAGCAAGGAAACGAGAGTAAGAAATTGTGCAACCCAGGTGAGATTTGTTTAACATTCAAAGACATTTTTGAATTACGATAAACATTTATGATAATTTCGTTGAGCTCTGGTTGATAAAAGGTTCGTACGAATTTATTCCATAATAAAACTTTTGTGATTGTTTAGTGGTAGTCTGACGTCGGCGGAACTAGTTCGCGTACATACAGAAAAATATGGCTAAATCGACTCAGTTCGTCGTACCATAATATCTGATATATGTATCCATAGGGAGAT